CAGTAGAATTTTAATTAATCTTTAAAAGAAAAAAAAAGTCAAAATTTGAAATTCTCAAAATAACCCACTTTTGTCTGAACATTTTTATTTAAATTACTCTTTGGATTATATATGCCATCAAATTTAAAGTAATAATTATTAACAGAAAGAAATGTTAATTATTATTATTATAGATTAAAATTTACTGAGTTTATTTGAAATCCTGGATGTGAGTAAAATTAAGAAGAGAATAATGCTTGCTACTACAATGCTTTCTTTCTTATTATTAGACATGGCCTAACTTGGCCAAACAAGATTAGTCATTTTTGCACCTAATTAATTCACTTTCGTATGATTTTTGGCTATCTCGAATTCTAAATTAAAATTAAAATTAAAGCTTCTTCTTTCGTATAATCGCTCTATTGTATTAGTTTGCCCAACTTTGCATTTAAATGCAAAATAATTGGTTGTTGGGTAATTTTAGGTTGGTTTTATGAAACTATTTTTTGTTTCTTAAAAAAAGTTTGTTTATTTAACCTCTTTTGTTTTTTCAGACTATGTTGTAAAAATAGTCACTCCTCTCTCACATTCCACCTCTTTCCTCCTCTCCAAATCCGCTCGAATTCCTCACTCTTTCTCTGCTCTCTCTTCACGCCATCCTCCAAAATTTTCTTGTTCTTTTTTTTTCCATTATATTTTTATTACTTTATTTAAGTTAAAATGAACTAGGAAAAGAAGCTTGGATGAAATTGTTGTCAATTTATTCCTAAAAATTAATTGTAAAATTAATGATTTTATCTTTAATCTATAATTAATAACTAAAAATAATTATCCAACATATATATAGTTTTTATTTTAAAAACATAAAACTAAAAACAAAAAACAGAGAAACGAAAAATCAGAACCAGAAATCGTTATAAAATGGACCCTAAATTGTCATAAACAACCTCTTACATTATATGTTTTTTCAACTAAATGAGGTGTACACATTTAAAGTTAGAATCTGAAAATTTCAACTCCATACCTAATATTCAAGAGATTCAAGTAATTATTACAAAAATGAAAAGAGAGAGAGATAAAGAAAAACAATGCTAATTTCTTACAAAATGGGAAGAATTTATACGAATCTATACTTTTATATATATATATATATATATATATATATATATATATATCAGTGAAACTCAAACATATGACATCGACTAGTTAAGTTAGGCTCGAAAAAAAACAAAAAAAAGGCTAATTTCTAACGAAATTGGAAAGATTTATACTATTTTTTTTTTAAATATGTCAGTGAAACTCGTGTTAAAGATCTCACATTAAAAAAAATAGACATTATAAGAGTTTATAATAGATATGTACTACTTCTTCCACTGTTAATTGGTTTTGAAATGAAACTTCATGATTATTAATAACTCGAACCTATGATATTGACTAAGTTAAGTTAGGCTCGATTCGAAATTTGGTATGAGGGAATGGAAAGAAAAAGATATATATGAGGTTAGGTGGGGGAAGGGCATATAGTTAGGAGGAAACTAAATGAACCTCAAAATGAGTTGATAAATGAAGCCGCAGCTAAGGGGAGGGGGCTATACACTTAAGCTAGAGGCCTAATAGGACAAAGCCCACCATTCACAAACGGCCTGGGGGCTGGGGACCAATTTTTAAGAAAAAAGTATAACAATAATAATAATAAGGCTAAATTAAAAAAGAAAAAAAAAATCTCTGAACGTGCTCTTTTGTTTCTCTTTTGTTTCAAAAAGATATCCATATTATTATTTCCAAAGTTTTGAATACTACCTTTAATATTTCATAATCGTTTTTTAAAAAGTTTAGCTAATATTTTCAATGGAAAGTTGATGTGGTAATTAATGTGGAAGTTTGTCTTGATTAAGTCTTGAAAAAGAAAAAATGTTGGAGAAGATATTATTGTTTTCAAAGCTCCCATTCGTCATTCTCTTAACGATTTTCATCCTCAACTCCTTTATATCATTTTTAAAAATACGATAGCTTCATCTACACGAGCTTTCATGTTAATTGTATCGTTCAAGGTTCTTCCATGTCAACTTTCCGTCTAAATTAAGTACTATGCTCAAAGGGTATTCATGCATTAGCTCAAAGGGTATTCATGAAAGGTAACATTTATGAAATGCGTCTTTACAAAAGTATTTTTTTCAAACAAATAAACAAACTTCAGGGTTGCTTTTTGTTTTCCTTTTTTTTTTTTTTTATAATTTAGGCTAATAAATAAATAAATAAAATATTTCACAGGAAGGGAGATAGATAGATGTATATGGAGTAGAAAGAATTTGGGTACCCTTTGCAGGGTCTATGTGCTTCTTAATATCCACTTCTCCACTCCCCCACTCATCCATCTCTTAGATTATTAATTATTGCTTTTTTTTTCTTTTTTTCTTTCCCCACCCACCAGCAGGACCAGTTTATATCACAGTTGCTTCCAACAAACATAATATTACATTTCAATCAATCACACACATTACCAAAACTCAATAATACACACACATACAAATGCCCCTCTTGCCCATATTGATGGATATCCCCTATTTCTTATTTTTAACCCTACATACCCCTAATGTGCTCTCAATTATCCATTCTACCATTAAAGCCAATATCTAATTTCCAATTTAACCAAAAAAGGGTCATTTCTTTTTTAAAGAGAAACCCAAACCATTTCATTCAAAATGAAAGAGATGAGAAACTTACCTGCAAAAAGAAAGCTTTTTAATTAAGAGAAATAGTAGGAATATCATAATTCGGGAAAAAAGAAGATGATTTTGTTTTTGTTCTGATATCCTCCGAGAGGTGTGAATTGGATTAGTAAAGTTTCGAGAAGGATCAATTTTTCCGATAAAAATGGGTCTTTTCTGAAAAGGACAATCCCCCTTCTCTCTCTCAGATCTATGATATCATCTCCTTCCTTCCACTTGGAGATGATCAGAAAAACTTTAGGGAATGTTGAAGAATTTTTTTTTTCCCTTTGTTTTTTTTTGGGGGGGTGTGATAATCTCCTAGTTTTGAGAAGTTTAGTAGGAGGTAGCTAGAGAGAGGTAGGTGTGTGTTCTGCAATTCTAATAATCTAGTTGGGTTTAAATAAACTAGTGAGAGAAATCAAACTGCATCTCTTTCTCTCTCTGTGATTTTTGTGTGAGAGTGGAGCTCAATTTCCTCTCAAGTGAGTATGCCAATTTGGAGAATTTAATAGCCAAAAAAAAAAAGGAGGGATAGAGATGGGGGAATCAATCAACTTGAGCTTATTGAATCCCCAATGGATGGATTTTATCCATTTTAGGGTTTAGGATCGTTGCTTATTTTTCTTTTAATTCCTTCCCCAGTTCTCATATATCTCACAGTTAATTCCCTTTTTTCTTCCACCTCAAAATTATGGATTTTCTCACAAAAGCTGCAAAAGACTGTGGAGAAGAAGATCAAGAGGAAGAAGAATCAGAAGATCAAGAAATGAGGCATAACAACAACAATAAAAATAATGTTATTGCATGCGATTTCTTCCCCCACCACCACCACCAAGATCACCATCATCAGCCAGCTGATCTTATGGATCTAACCCTAAGAATTGATGCGCACGGCGGAGGAGACGGCGGGAACGAGTTGGCAGTGGAGAGAGAGCACATGTTCGACAAAGTCGTGACTCCGAGCGACGTCGGGAAACTGAACCGCCTCGTGATTCCGAAGCAGCATGCCGAGAAGTACTTCCCGTTRGACTCTTCCAGCAACGAGAAGGGGCTGATCTTGAATTTCGAGGACCGGAACGGGAAGCCGTGGCGGTTCCGGTACTCCTACTGGAACAGCAGCCAGAGCTACGTGATGACCAAGGGCTGGAGCCGCTTCGTCAAGGAGAAGAAGCTCGACGCCGGCGACGTCGTTTCGTTCCAGCGCGGCCTCGGGGATTCTGCCAAAGACCGCCTCTTCATCGACTGGCGCCGCCGCCCCGAAGCTCCCCGGCCCCACCACCAGTACTTCTCCAACCCTCTCCTCCTCCGCTGGCATCCGCCGCCACCGCCCCGCCGCAGTATCCACATGAATTACTCCACTCTTTACCCGAATTACGCCTTCCAAATGCCGAATTCCGGGATGGGCGGCGGCGGCGGGGCTAATAATTCGGTGTATTATTTCAGACCCCCGATGGCGGCGGCTTCTTCTTCGTACAGAGTGGGAGAGATAATTAATCAGGGTTGTTCTTCAATGGCGGTTAACAAGGGTGGCTCCGGCGGTTCCACTACGGCGGCGAAACGGCTGAGACTGTTCGGAGTGAATATGGAGTGTTCTGCGCCCGATGATGGAGAAGGAGGAGGAGGAGATCTGTCGAACGGTGACGTTTCGATGGAAGCAGCTGATCAAATTTCCAGAAGAGGGAAACAACCCTTGTCGTTGAATTGGGATTTACTTCATTAAATCCCAATTCCGAATTCGAATTTCTGAGTGAGTTCGTTCTTTTTTTTTTTCTTTCTGCAAAACAAATTCAAGAGAAAAAACAACAGGAAACGAGGAAACGCAGGAAAGGGTTTGCAACAAAAAGAAAAAAAAATTGATAGTGGAAATTTGGAATGGAAATTATATATGAAATTTCTCTTCTTGATCTTCTTCTTCTTCTTTCTTTTTTTTTTTAATTAATTAACACATTTTCTGTCTGATTTTTACTCAAAAAACCTGAAAAAAATGGAATGGAAGAAGTTGAAGAAAAATAAGATTAAGATAAAAATATATATATGGTTCATCTTAGTAGACCTTGAATTACATTTTTACTTTGCTTTCTGAAATTTTGTCCATTTCTTCTTTGTTAGTATTACTCCTTAAACCTACAATTACTGATCATTGTTCTTCATTTGAGCTGCATAATTATCCATGTCTTAAACATCTTTTCTCGGGTCAATTTTCCATTTGATCACAATCTCAATCTCAAATTCTCTTTCACCCTGGTGTATGATCCAAGGGTGTTCATTGGTCGGTCGATGTCGATCTTAGCACAAAACACCGATCGACCACCGACCATGCATGTCGATCAATTTAAATTCAAAGTAGTAGTTTAACATGTCTGATCCCATCATCTACAACCATAGTTGATTTCATCAACGCATGAGTAAATATGTAGATGATGGAACCCAGTTGGGTAATTAAATAAATGTTTCATACGAACAGAAAATACAATAGAAACATTTTATTTTTAATTTTTAATTTATATGATGGTAACTGGTGTAGGGCTAGATATAAGAAGAATATAATAGTGGTACAGGTACTGAAACCCATGGGATAAAAATTATGAGTAAGTGTGGTTGTGGTTAATGGCAGAGGCTACACATACTACACAGCCAGAGAGGGTGTCCTCAAAAGTTTCAACACAACTGTGTCGCCTATAAACCCTACCCTATACCCTATTATACCCTCTATTTCTCTTTCCCTCTAAAGCTCTTTTATGCTCACAAGGGGATACATAATAATCATTCTAAAAAAATTTAAAGGTAAAAAGAATGTTAAAAACAACTGGAATCTCTCAACAGCTTTTTTATTTTTTATTTTTTTTATATATTGGAATCGATGTCGTGTGACTTACGTTATGGATCTCTATTATTGGAGTTTGTTGTCTGGGTTAAGTGACAAAGTAACCACTATATAGACTTGAACTCATGGTAGGGTAGAATGTATATAACACTTTTTATTAGTATATAGTTAGTATGTAAACTTTCTATTTAGGGTAACATGTATTTTTGGTTGGTGAATTTTGAGTTTTGTTGTCATTTTATTGTTATTTTAAAATGTGTCAACACTTTTAACTAGATTGTTTTTGGTCACTGGTTTAAAATGTTCCATGATCTCTGAGTTTGATTAGTTTATCTATTTAGTCAATAAGATTGAAAATGTTTATACTTTGCATCTCGAGTTTCAAATAATGCTCACTCTTGGTCCTTTAGATCATAGCAAATAAGCGTTAATGAAGCGCTGACTAGCATGCTGATGAGACTATTTACTATTAAGCGCAGTTGATTGAAATATTTATTTCTATAATATTTCAATAGGTGATGTGGCAGAAAAATAATAAAAAGTAATCTAAGTCAACATTACTTTCCGACGATTAGCTAGGAAAATTTATTATTATTATTATTATTATTATTATTATTATTATTATTATTATTTGTCATACCATTTATTGAAATATTATATATTTTAACCACAATAAGCATATAGATTAATATTTAATGGACCGTCATCTCCGAGGCAGCATTTTTCATTTGGGTTAGAGTACTGTTAATGTCATAGACCAAAAGTTAGCATTAGTGAAACTTGCAAGGGTTAAAGTGTGAATATTTTAAAACCTAGACATGAAATAGGAACTAATAAACTTAAAACTCGGGGGTAAAAGTGTAAAATTTTGAAATATCGGGACAAAATAAAAATTAAACTTAAAATTGAGAGACCAAAAAACTATTTTTCCTTTTTGTTTATTTAATTTTGTTTGTCGTTTAAAAAATTGTTTAAAAATTATTTGTTTGCGTAGTCTTGAAACTGGGTTCTAAAAGGAACATTTTAAGTAACAATAAATAAAGAATGAGTTGAGGGAATGCTTTCTTTTGCCTTTTATGTTAAGGTAAAATAAGAGAATAATGAGTATTGAAAAAATAGGGTTCTAACATTTACCAAATGGGTCTTAACCATATTTGTGCTTTTCTTTTTCTATTTTTAAGTTGATAGGTTTTGTCTATTAATTTGTAGCCATGTTTTGAAGAAGGAAAATTATAAAGCTTTATGAATTATGATAAGAGGTTTTAGTTTTAAAATATTATTAGAAAACAAAGATATTATTTAACAGACAACACAATATATATCATGTTTAATAGTTTAAATTATTTAGTTAATTTGAGTGTAGTTGAATTGGTTAAGTCATATATCGTTGACCAAAATGTACAAGATTTAAATTCCTACCATTTGAATTTAAAAAGAAATAAAAGCTTAATTATATTTCAAGGTACATTTCGCATGCATGTATGGAAGATTTTAATAGAAAGCATATTAGAAGATTAATATTTTTATGTATATTGTTTTATGCCATATTCATCCCAAGCATGCATATAAATCATATTAAATCTTTAAGAAACATGGCAAAAGGCCATATTTGGTTTTTGTATGAGATGTGTGAAAATTAAAAAAAAAAATTGAAATTTATTTTGTATATATTTTTTATTTTTGCCAAAATCAAAGTTAGAAATTTGTGTAACGTCACTAAAAGTTTGGGTGTAATAATACAAAAATACTCTAATTATCAATCATAAAGTGAATCAAAATTTTTTTTCGACAGATAAAAGTGAAGCAATTAAAAGCGAACATAAATATAATTCAGCTATAAAATAATATAAATCATTTTCTTTAAACCTCCGGTTTAAATTAAATGAATGTACTCTAATAATTAATTTTAGTACTTGTCCAAATTTACGGTTCAATTTAATAAAAAGTAAAACTTTAAAATCACACATTTTCAGTACGGTAAAAAGTGAGTCCTTTTTAATAGTTATCTTTAGCTTTACCATATTAAAAATTGGAACTATTAAAACTGAAATAATATTTATATTTTAGAAGAAATGAATCTGGTAAATTAAAAATATTTTAAAAAATATTAATTACACTTTTAAAAAATAGTTTCAAATACTTAGGTTTTGTTTTTTTTATGTTGACTAAAATTCTAAAATTATTGTTTAAAATAAAACATAAAATTGTTATAAAGATGAAGTGTAGTTTTAAACATAGGACAGTGATATATTGAATATTTGATATGCATACAAAGACTATAATATTATACTTTTCAAATTTAATATACTATTTTTTGAAGAATAATTTAATATTCCTATCATAGTTAGATAAAAAGCATTATTGTTTGAAGTTAAAGCTAGATATAGTTTTTTATTTTATTTATTGTTTATTTGAGTCCATAACATATCCGTACTGGGTGGAAAATTGAGTCTTTGATATTTTTGTCGAGAATTATATCTAACCAATTAAATTATTTTGAAGTTGACATGGATATAATTAGTTAAAACCTACCATAAACATCGAAAAAGAAGAAAGAAATTTACTTTTCAAAACAGAGAATTTTACCCATAGAACAAAGAAGGACAGACATGGTAAAAACTATACACGTTTGTTCACTAAATTTCATAAGAGTGGCAAATCTCTTTAATATTTTTAAATGAATTTTTGTAATTCCTATCTCAAAAGCATCACTATATTAGTTGTCACTCAAATAATTAAGAAATTTTCTCACCTTTATTTAAAATTGTAATAATCTTAAAAAAAAAAACCCTTTTCAAGAAGTTATTTTAATGCCCACAGTTAAAAACAAATAAAAGATTAATGAGTTTTCGTTATATAAATATTTAAACTGTAAATAAATAAGTCCCTCATTTTTTTTTTCTTTCTTTGTTCGGGAGAAGAAAACCTAATTATTGTCTTATATTGATTCAAGAAATAAATCAACTAAGCAGATAATTAAGAAAACAAAAGGAAAAAGGAAAGTTACTATAACTAATTGACAGTACCCTGTCAAGCAGACCAATATACCTGTGAAAACTCATGACATGTAAAATAGGAGTAAATGGGTTTGTATTATAAATATTAAATAAAGGGGTCTTTAATATAAAATGTGCGTGGTAGCTAGAATCTGCAAGAATTCCAGCGAGAACAAATTTGTTTAAAAACATATTTGGTCTTAAATAGTATGGATTTAATTTCTGAATTTTTAATTGTAATGATTTAGTTAATATACTTTCATAGTGATAATAATTATAATTTAGTCCCTAAACTTTAATGTAACAATTTAGTCCCTACTATGAAAATTCTCATCAAAATTAAGCGTAAATTTTTATCATATAGTGATTTGATTTTTGTAATTTATAAATAAATATGATTATTGATCGATTTATTGATCTACATATATTAGAAATTTAACAAAAAAATTTCACAATGGGGACTATATCGTTATAGACTTTAAATTTCAAAGATTAAATTGTTACTTCTTCTAAATTTTATGGAGTAAATTGTTACCCATTTGAAAGTATAGAGACTAAATCGTTACTGTAGGAGTAGAGGAACCAAAATGTTATTTAACCTTAAAAAAATGTGTATCAAATGCATGAGCATTGAAATTATTGAGAAACAACTCATCATAAATAACAATACCAATTTGTATTTATGATGAATGCAACTATTGGAACCAAAAGTAATATTTAACTTTTTATTATTATTCTATATTCAACTTGAATTTCTAGTCCAATAAAATACTAATAATAAAGCTTTAAAAAAAATGAGTCCCTATATTTCAATGAAATAATAATTTAGTAATTGAAATTTAATTTGTAACAATTCAGTTTTTATACTTTCAAATGGGTGAGAATTCATTACAAAATTCAAACTAGAAGAACTAAATTGTTATGTTTGAAAGTTTAGGTACTAAATTGTTACCAATTTTAAGGTATAAAGATCAAATCGTTACGAACTAAAATTTTGGAACTAAATCGTTACTTCAATGAAAGTATAGTTATCGAAAGTATTTTTAAATCTAATAATAATAATAAAAAAAAGCACTTCATCC